CCTATATGTCATAAACTTCAACTCTCAGGTGACTCCCACCCCAGCTACCTTCTGAAAGCAAGGGCATGAGAGACCCTGAACAAGAATCACTCTGAGATGTAAAATTCCTGACAGTTCTGCAGCTGTCCAGAGTCACTGACCAAACAGCCTCCTCACTGGTTTCCCTGAGTCCATTCTGGCCCCTTGCAATCTGTTGTCCATGTTTCAGCCAGAGGGGCATTTTTCAAAGCACTGATTTGGCAGTAAAATTAGTCAGTGGCTTCCTGCTACTCTGAGGATGAGGCTGAAGCCTTCAGAGGACCTTTAATGGCTGCTCCACACCGCTGAACTCCCTTTTCCACCTGCATTTGCACCCAGGATTCCAGGCTCCGGCCCCACCAGCCCAGCCTCTGATTCTGAGCGGTGCTGTCTCCCTGCGAGGCCACAGCCTTTACCTGCCTACTCCTGCTCACCCTTCAGGGTCAGCTCAATTGCTGCTGCCCTTAGGGAGCCTCCTGAGCTCACATGGCCTGTCCAAAGTTTCTCCCGGAACCAAGGGCTTCACCTTTGTGGCCATGGCACTGTTTATAAATGTATACACTTTTGTATGATTTACTTTATTGATGTCTTGCATTATTATTAATGGTTTGTAAATATTCTGCACAGTGCTGGGTCTACAAGGGCAATGGGCCAGGGGACCGGGATGGAGTGAAGATGTCTTCCACACCAGTGTCTTCATTCCTGTTCCACAGACACAGGGGACAGGGACCAGGTGGCAGCACAGTCTCCTCCCTTCTGGGTCCCGTTTGCTCTACCCAGAACAAAATTCCACTCAGGCTGGGAAAGTTTGTCAACAAAGCGGGGAACCTGAGGATTTTGCAGTCCTGGTTGGCTGGCTGCTGGCTGTGGGTGACTGACTGATGACCTGCTCTTTGGGGCCTTATTTCTAGTGTCTGGATGTTTTACTGTATTGGTGATTTTTCAACACTGGTAAACAGGCTTCCTGTGCTGAGCTCCTGGGGCAGGTCACACGATTGCCCAGGAGAGGAATGTGGAGGCGAGCGGGCAGGGTGGGGCTGGGCTGGGGGTGGGTGCTCAGGCGAAATGCCCTACTGTGCAGACTAGAGATGTTTCAAAGGTCGCTGACACTGGTGCCTCGAGAGGGAGAGCTGGTCCCGTGACCCAGCAGGCTCAGAGGCTGTCACCTGGCCCCACCCCGGGCTGTCTACCATGGCCTTCCTCCCTATAACCTAAAGGACAGCAGCATTACCAGCACTGCTCTCCCCCACCTGCCAGCCACAGTGCCAGAGCTGGGGCCCCGGGGTGCACTGTGGCTCCTGCACCAAGATGCCCACAGTCTGGCAGGGGAGACAGCACTGGGCACATTGCCCCTGCCACCTTCCTTCAGGGCTTCCCGGAGTCAGGAAAGCATTGCACCTCTCCACAGCCGAGTCTGACATTAGAGTTACAGAGGTTGAGAACTTTTGAGCTGAAAGTGCCAGTCAACCCAGTCCTAACTGACTTAAGGGAGGTGGTGGTGGGGACCTTATAGTGGCCTTTGTAAATCAGGAGTCCAGGGAGGGGCTCGCTGAAGGTGCAGCTTGATCTTGAGCTCAAAGGCCAGCGTCCCCCTTGTTTTCTCTCTCAGTCCCTCTGTCTTGGGCACTGGTTCATTCCCACAGCCCCACGCAGTGACGAGGCAGCCGTGGCTCCAGGACTCACACCCCCAGCTTCAGGGAGAAAGGGCGCGGCATCTTTCACCAACATGGGCCTCGCCGGGCCCCCTGGCTGAGACAAGGCCCTGCCCCCGTTGGCTCAGGCCTGGCCTGGGGGGCTTCACAGGCAGACAGAGAGCAGAGGTCGGGGGCCACTGCCTAAGAAGAGGGTGGGCGCTGGGGAGGCTGAAGACTGGTGTCCAATCAGGTGCCTTCCCTCATTGTCCCTTGGGGGTCCAGGGACTACCCCGAGAGAGAAAGTCCCAATGGCCTTTTGCTGATAGGGGAACCAAGGAGCCATCTCAGGCAGAGAGATGGGGGAGACACAGTGCCTGCGCCCGCAGGAAGGTTCCACAATGTTCAAAGCCAAGCAAGAGGTGTGAACAGGGGAACCCTGTGCCCAGGCCAAGGTGCGAGAGTGAAGACAGGACTGGTGAGATGGAGCAAATCTGGGGGTTTCTGCTGGAGGAACAGACAGAACCAAAAAGTAAACAGCAGCTGAGGGAGCCCAGTCCTAAGACTGATGGCCCTAGGCGGTCGGGGCAGTGGATCCCCTGACTGGTGCCACCGGTACCCACGAGAGGGCTGCTCTCACTGCCTGCTCAGGAGGAGCCTGAATTGCTTCCAGGGACTCCCCCATCCTGTCAGGTGCATCCTGCTACACTGCTGCTTCTCTGGGACCTCTCAGCTCTGGCTAAGGGCCAGTCTGACCGGTGTCTTCCCCATCAGTATATCTGCATTTCCCCGTGTGAGTGCGTGGGGTGTGGTGAGATGAGTCCCTCCCACTCCTTCATCTTGCTCCTACTTAGGTTCAGGGAACCCTGGCCACACTGGTCCTGGCTCTGTCCACAGGCCCTGCCTCCGTCTGGCTGGGCCCCATGCCCCACTCTCTCCTCCAGTCTCTGAAGCCTGCAGAGCTCACCTGCAGGCAGCCGGATCCTGCCACCTAGTCCCTTTACAGCCATCTGGTTCAGACAAAGTCCATGCCATTAGAGCTGGCCTGTGCGAACCAGAGGTGGCTGGCCTCCATGCTCCCTGAACCTGAAGGGCTAAAGTGCCTGCAAGTGGGTGAGAGGGCCAGGAGAGGGCCCCAGGACTTGCTTTGGGATGGCAACAGTGTCCATGGCCTTGGCAGCTTGTCTGGGACAGAGAAGGCTGATGGGGCAATGGAAGCAACAAGGAACCATGTCCAGGATGACAGAGCCTGGTTCAAGGAGGGCCTCACATGAGGCGTTGGAAGCTTCCTGACTTGGCAGCACAGCTATTGTCTGGAATAGGGACAGACAGGAGAAAGGCTCCCGAGCATCCTAAACGGCCTTCAGGAGCACTTACCCTAAGGGGCATCCTCCCCACCTCACTGAGCCTGTCCCCTCTTCCCTTATAGCTCTATGGGAAGTCCAATCCCCCTGCAGTCTGCCCTGGGGGGCTTGGTCCCACCTGGCCTGTGCTTTATGGAAACTTCCCTCATGGCCCAGATCACTGCCTTGGACTTCTTGCCTTCCAATGTCTCCAGAAGACTTGAATTTCCCAGAGGCAGAGACTATGGCTTAGCCCCTGTGGTCTCCTTATGGTGCAGCCCATGCCTGGTGTGTAGATGGTGTTTGATAACTGTGGAATGATGCCTCCCTTGGTGCAGACCTGGGAACTGGGAAGGAGCATGAAAGACGATTGCTGGAGGGTCACCATCTGGTGTGAAGGAGGAGGCAGAAACCCCACCCAAAGCAGGCACACGCCGATTAGTTCACGGGGCAAACAGCTCTGCAACCACGGGAGCTGCTGAGGCAGCAGCCAGCTTGAAGGACAATGTTATTGAGGGCTCCAGGCCACTGAGCAAAGGTTAGAGACAGCAGAGTTCTGAGAGGCTGCAAAAAGATCTCTGTCTCCAAAGGTGTGTATGGGGAAAGTGTGGTTGTTTTAAAGTTTGTTTCTGGAAGGATCTCACAGAGAAATTTTGGCTGTTTGAAACCAGCTCTACACATGCCTCCTTCCTAAGGGTAGCCGTCAGTACAAATGTTTCTGTGGCCACTGTCTGCTGTCTGGCCTTCTGGATCCTCCAGAAAGACACAGGCCCAGCATGGCATCACTTCTTCTAGGCTGGATCACCAGACTGGGGCTGAATACCTCACCGATTGCAGAAATGTAGTCGGTCAGTAATTTCCTGGTCAGTATGGATATGATAACCTGTCACATATGTCCTCTCCATCCCCCCAGAAGGAATCCACTTAATAAGATCTTTTTGTTCTCAAATGGAAGTGACCTCAACCAAAATAATCCTTTTTCTTCCTGTTTGTGACTTCCTTGTCCTGCCTTTAAAAACCTCCCCCTGTTGCCCTTCGGAGTATCTCTCTCCTTTCTAAAGGGAATGCTGCCCAGTGCATGAATCACTTAATAAAACCAGTTAGATCTTTACATTTACTTGGTTGAATTTTGTTTTTTCAACAGGTATATTTCCAAGATTTTTTTCAGGATTTTCAATAGCATAATAGCTAAGGCTAGGCCAGCAAAATTGAACATTAACCCTATGTGCTCTGGGGCTGGAATTAAATCAGCTGTGTGGTGATGGTTATGGAATCTGAGTAGTTAATGTGTGCCCTAGTTAATAAAATAGGGCTGACATCGTGTCCTGTCTCCCAGCATCCAGCTCAGTGGACTCAGTGTGCCTGTAGAATTGTTACTTGATAAATTCAGTTTTCTGGGGCAAAACCACGTGGAGAATGAGGCAGACACATGAAAATGTCTGGGGCTATGAAAGAAATATCAAGTGGCTTCCTTCCAAGTCGCTTCCTCAGGAACCTTGGGAATGAGGGCAGGAAATGGGTGAGGAGGCTGCCATGCGGTACCGCTGCCCCCTGGTGGTCAATGGGGAGCACAGCACGTGGACCGACAGGCTAATGGCATCTCTGGTAAAACCCCACGTGGAGAAAAGGCGAAGCTACGGATCTTCTAATTAGGAGACTGGCTGTTGTTCTGTAAAGTTAGGATTTGTGCAGCACTGCCAGACCCCCAGAACCTCCCTCCTCTCACCCCTCGAGTTGGGGCCCGCTTTTTCATCTCCCCAGGTTCTCATTTCTTCAGGTCTGGAGCTTCTTAAGGTTTCCCAACTGTAAACATCTTTTTGACTCCACCTTAAATGACGTCACAGTGGGAGCTTGCAAGTGAGCATGGAAATTGACAACTGCTAGGATTCAGGGAATGTTCAACATTTACTGGCACAGCACTGGGCAGGAGCCGACGTTAATACCAGCAGGGATGGGAACCAGGGGGCGAACTGCAATTCAGAGTCAGGGTAAAGTCACCAAGAATCCCTTTCCTTTGTCAAGTTTATTTTATTAAAATATACAGGACTGAATATTGGTGGGCGCTGAGAACAGGAACCACCCTCCCAGGCCATGCCCCAGCAGACACTTCTGCCATGCAGACATGCGGCCAGTCCACACTCCAAGCTGGGAGAGACCCCTCCTGGTTGACTGTGCAGCCAGTTGGCCTGAGCCCAAGGGGGGGCGGGAGCATCGCGGTGACCCTCTCCTTTTGCCTCGGCCCCTCAGAAGCAGTGCTACACCAACTGGGAGGGCTGGGCTGGAGTCAGGGGATGGGGGAAAGATCCCTGAGCCAGGGAAAGCTGATGCCCTCCTAGAGGAGGGGAGAGGGACCCCCCAGTCAGACTGGAGGTGGGGTGTCAGTGCAACTCCAAGGGGAAGGACTACCTGTGTGGGGTGCCCAGGGGTCCCTGAGGCCAAGCCAGGCCAATGTCCACGGCCTTTGCCACCTGGCCATTCCTTCGAAGGCCCTGTTTGCCCTAGGGCCAGGCGGGAGCAGGGACAGGGCGGCAGCTGATGGAATGTATGGTATGGGGATGTCTTCAGAAGGGCCCGTGCTGCCTGGGACCGGGTTCCTTCTCTGGGAGGCCTAGGCAGGCAGGAGCAGCCTCTCTCTCTCTCTCTCCTGGAGGTTTCTGACCTGCCACCCTGCTTCAGGGCCCTCCGCCCTCATCACTGGCTCTGGCTGACATCACCTCCATCCCCAGAGCAGAACCCAGCCAAGCAGAGTCCCCAGGGTTTGTGCTTTTGAATGTTGGTGAGCTGGGCTGGGGATGGGCTTCAAGCCCCCACTGCTCTGAGGCACAGAACTGACCCCGATGCGTGTGCCCTGGGGCCATCCGGATTTGGGACTGCTGGGATCCAAGTCTCAGCCCACTAGGAAGGCCTTGTCTTGGAAAAGCAGTGTCCTGGCTCCCCTTGTGGGCTGTGGCCTGAGTTGCTGGGGATGCTTGTGCTTCTTGATGGGGCTGGGGTGAGCTAGTGTGGAGGGGCGACCACACTGCTTCAGGGCCCTGACCTGGAAGTGAGGGGTGGGGGCTGGGGAACTTATCCAGGCTGCTGGGCCCAGGAGATGGACTGACAGGAAGGAGGGAGGGAGAAGCCCCTTCCCAGGCCTATTCTGCCCCTCTGGCTCCTTGGCAGCCAGGCCCTGAGCCATGTGACCTCAGGACCTATGATGATGTTGGGGTGAGCAGTCTTGTGCCTTATCCCAACTCCCTTGACTCCCAGCTGCCCCTCCAGTGTCCTCAGGTGAGGGGCATTCTGGGAGTGTCATTGTGGGCAGGGCCCTTCGGGGAACAAGGCAAGAGCAGCCCCTGGAACCTGGCCACATGCGGTGGGACAGAAGGGTGGCAGGAAGGAGGGGCAGGGGGGCTCACACAGGAGGGTCCTTTGCTTTGGAGACAGGACCCTCCTCTGTGGAGCTTGACCCCTTTCCTGGCAACGCCCAGCAACAAGCGGCCTGCAGAGGCTGTTTTTCTGCTGCCCACCCCAGAGACAGCCATGCCCCACGGGCCTGGGCTGGGGGCTGGCCTGGGCTAGGGTATGCGGCTCTCCTCATGTGGGCCTGGCTCTCAGACAGACTCAGCCCCTCCCTGACCTCCGTCCCCCTTCTGCCATCCCAGAAGAATGGTGTGTGTGTGTGTGTGTGTGTGTGTGTGTCTGGAGCAAATTGTCACTTTTTGCAAATATATTAGAAAAAGGTTTCTCATGGCGGCTGCTCCGGGCAGGACTGAAGTTTCTCTGAGGGCAGAGGAGGCAATGAGCACTCGAGAACCCCCACCCCCGACATGTCCTAGATGACATTCTCAAACAGCTGCATGGAGCTCATGATGTTCTCGTCCTGTGGGAGAGGAGGAGAGACTTGGTCAACTCCGGGTGGGCAGGGCAGGGCAGTGCCCAAATCCAGCCCACCTTCAGCAGGTTCCTGCCAGGGACTCAGAATCCTGCAGTGGCTGTTCCGTCTGCTTCACTGGGTGAAGGGGGAACTGGTCAGGCACAGTCTGTCCTCAGCCCCCCGGCCTGACTGCAGTCCCACCTGGGAGCAGCTAACTCACTGACAGACAAACCTCCCTGGCTACTCACTCAGATGGGGCCTGGGGCAAAGGAGCAGCCCGCACAGGGGGTGAGGCTGGCGGCCAGCGCAGACCCAGTGTCCTGCCCCACTAAGGGTGCTCTGCAGAGGACGGTCAGCAGCAATGAGGGGGGAGGCCCCAGGTGCCTTTCCCACAATGTGACCCTGTCCCAAGGGCCATGGGGTCAGTCACTCTCCCGTGGCCCCACATCTGTCCCCTCTGCCACCAGGAGGGCAGGGCTGAGGGCTGGCAGGAAGGAGTGGGGAGGGGAAGAGCTCAGACAAGAGTGACAGTGGAGCTTGGAGGCGGGGTGGGGTCTGGGCACTGCCAGGGACAGGCTGCTGGGTGTCCTCAAGTCCTAATCCCGCCTACCTTCTGACAGGTCTCCAGGAATTCGTCAATGGTCACCACCCCATCCTGATTCCGGTCCATTTTCTGCAACCCAAGCCATGCCCTCAATGAGTCTATGTCCCACCAGGGTGGTCCATGCCCCGGGCCTGAGGACAGGGCAGTGGATGCGTGGGTTGGCTCCTTCTACCTCAACCTGTCCCCTCTGTCCCCTGCTCTGGCCACATAAGTGCCCTCTCCTGCCACCTCCACAACACAGCTGACCTGTGGCACCTCCCCAAGCCTACCCTGCACCCCAGCCCCTTCCCAGCAGCTGTCTTGGCTCACATTTCCAGAATGCATCGCCACACTCATCTGACCCCCTTCCGTCCTGGACAGGCAGCCAAGGTGGAAGGAGCAGCCAGGCACATGATGGTCACATGTCTACAGGGTCCCCAGTAAGTGGGAGTGGGGCTTTAGCCCCAGTAGTCCCCATGGACACAGGGCACAGTCACCCCATCCCCACTCCATTCACAGAGAGTCTCCCCCAGAGGAGCTGGGGGCGCTCTCGGACTGACGGCACTGGAATGCTAGCCCGGCAGTCAGCTGCCTTGGAATCCAGGAGCCCTGGCCTGGCCTGCCCCGGAAATGAGTTCATCAGTTCGGGGAGTAGGGATGGTGTTTTAATTCGCTCTCAGGGCCCTGACAACCAGGCAGGTGGGGAGTGCAAGTTGAACCCCCTTGCAGTGGGAGGCAGCTTCAGAGGGGAGTGGCTTGCCCAGGGGGGCCCTAAGAGCAGGGCCCCCCTCCTCTGGCTGCCCTTCCCCATGGGCCTGGGAGGCCGAGGTGCTCACCTGGAAGAACCTCTCCACGTGCTCCAGAGGTGCATCCTCCCGCAGAATGGGGTAGGTGTGGCGGCCCATCATGTCATAGATGGATTTCATGATGGCCAGCATCTCCTGGAGGGGGCCGGAGGGCTGGCATGGGCTTGGCTGCAAGGATGTGGGGGGTTCGAGGGCCCAAGGGGAGGGGGCTGCATCAAAGGGTGGCAGGCGCCCAGGCAGGGTGAGATGAGATGAGCTCACTGCACCAGCCCACTCAGCCCACACTTCTGATCCTCCCAGGTAAGCTGGAGAGAGATCGTATGCACCATCTCCAAAATGTGAAACTGTAGCAACTGTCTCACACACACAAAAAATGATTGGGCCAAAGACTGTGGGCTGGTGTGGTGAGGCCCCCCATCCCCACCTGCCTTAAGGGACCACACTGCCCCCCTTGGCCAGTGGGAGCCCAGGCCAGCTCCCCCACCCCACTCTCAGATTCTCCACTTGTGTCTCCCCCTGGACCTCCCCAGAAGAAAGGGTGATCCGAGAAAACTTGTTGAGCTGGGCTGAGACGTCTGGTGGAGAGCACACAGGCTCCATGCCCCCTGCACCCTGGAGTCCAGGACCGAGAGCCTGGGAGAGGAAGAGGGCCCCCTGGTTGGCCATCCCCTCCAGGGCCAGGTGGAGAGTCACATCTCTGAAGGGGGAGGGGAAACAGGACAGCCAGGGCAGCAGGAGGGAGGAGAGAGGCTGGGGTCCGGGGTGCGGAGTGGGATGAGGAGGGGCAGACGGGCCACCACCCCCAGCCACCCTGTACCTCTTTGGTGATGTAGCCGTCCTTGTTAATGTCATAGAGGTTAAAGGCCCACTTGAGCTTCTCATGCACTGTTCCTCGCAGGAGGATAGAGAGGCCGACCACAAAGTCCTGAGGAGGAAGGGGAGAGTGACAACTGACAATCCAATGCCCAGATTCTATTTCCAGTTTGCTGCGTGGCTTCCACTGAAATTCACACCTTTATAGGTGAGAAGCTGCCATTTCAGAGCAGGCAGATGGGATCCATTAGGTCTACACAGTGTGTGACCATGTGTGAGTGTGTGAATATGTATGTGAGCATGTGTGTGTGTGTGTGTGTGTGTGTGTGTTGGGGGGCATGTGGTATGTATGTGTGGGTGTGGGTGTGTTGCAGGGGCACGTGGTGTGTGTGTATGTGTGTGTGTGCATGTATGTGGTATGTGTGCGAGTGTGTGGTGGGGATGGCATGGTGCATGGAGCTGATCTTCCCAAATAAAAACATTCAAATACATGGTGCCCTAGAGCCATTTAATGCATTGCTGCTGATAGAGAAGCTTGGGAATGCTCTTTTAATAAAGGGGAATGCTCTATTTTTAGTTTACCAAGCATCTGTATGTCAAGGTGCTTGAAATCTTATAGCTTAAAAGCTAACTTGACAGCGCTTAACTCTGGGGTCATGACATACCCGTGTGTTGCAATCACCTCTGAGATGTGACAGATAACTTATCACTAATGTGACAAGACGTGAGTGTCCAAACAACTTCTATGTGAAAACTAACTGCTTTGTGATAACAGCTGGTGGAAAGCAAGTGTTTCTCTCCACTTCCTGGAAGGTCTGCATGTTAAGCCCTCCCTGCTCCCTGGGGTGCTCCCAGACTACTGGGAAAGAAGGGAGCAGAGAAGGGCTGTCCCAGAAGCAGGGGTGGAGGGTGGCAGGCTGTGTGCCCAGCCATGCATCAACAGGCTTGGTCCCCACTCAAAGGTTAGAGTTTCTGGATCTGAGAAAGCCTGTGCCATGAGAGAGAAAGATAAAAGGAAAGAGAAAAACAATTAGAAAGAAACAGAAATTATTCAGGGAGAAAAAAACCTTAAAAACAATTAGACTCAGAGAGTACAAATCTGGAGTCCTTAAAATAAGAACAGGATGCAATAAAAAAGGAATAATTGAGAACAAGAAAGCTCTTGGGAATTAAATATTAAAAAAAACAAAACAACAGACGCAGAAGAAGGGTTGGAAAAGCAAGTGGAATCTTCCATCAAGTAGCGTGAAAAGGCAAAGAGCTGGAAAATATGAAAAAGGAAAATGACAGGTTTACTCCAGAGGGACCAACCCTTGAACACCAGGAGCTCCAGAAAGAACTAGAGGAAATGACGGGAAGCATGTCACAGACGCAATGATTTCCCAGGGTAGGAGGCTGTGAGTGTCCAGGTCCTGCCCAGGCGTAGCACGAAGCATGGAAACAGCCTGCAGGCACATATGGTGATGACATTTCATTAAATAGGGTGCCAAGAGAGGACCCTACAAGCTTCTAGAACAAAAACAGACCAAAACAGAAAAAACAAAATCAGATCCAGTACACAGGGTCAGGATTCAGCAGGCTTTGCCTTTTGACAGACCCATGGTGGGCAGGAAGCCAGTGGAGTGATGCGGCCACTATTCTGGAGGACAACTTTCCACCCCAGCTCTGCTCCCAACCAACATATCAAGAAAGAGTGAGAACAGAAGGAAGTTGCTTTCAGACATGTGAAGGCTCAAAAGTTACTTCCCAGTACTCTTCTGTAGGAAGTGCTGGTAGATATGCCCCTGAAAAGAGAGAGTAAAGCAAGAACTTCTTCCTTGCCTTTCCTCTGAAAGGGGTAATCCAGAACCAGGAGACCCAACCAGGGGATGGGGAAGGGGTCCCTGGAGGGCCCCCACTCCTGATGGGTGATGGAGCCTGTTGGAGGCTGGGGAGGCGTCCTCCTGGAGAGGCCCGCTCAGACTACTACAGAAGGGCCTACAGTGAATTAATGATGGCATCACAGACACCAGGCAGATGACAAATCAGGCTTACTGTCGGCAAAACAGTGTGTACAGGAAAGGAAAACATAATCAGAGTTTCCTGCGAGACTCAGCTGGCAATCAAACCCACATCAACTGTGAGTCCTTGTCCGACTGTATCCAACAGTCCGGTGAAGCCAGGGGATGGGACAGGTGTGTGTGCACATGGGAGGCCCATTCCTCATCACCGTGCCATAGAGCCAATAGGCAGCCTCTAAAACCACAGAGCCAATAGGCAGCATCTACAGCTGCAGAGAGCCAATAAGCAGCCTCTAAACCTGGGCACTCAGGAGGGAGCACGCTTGTGCTCTTGGGAGGTGTGGAAACATACTGAATGGGCTAAAATAAGAGAAGGTGGTTGCTTCCTCGGGTGTGTGTGTGTGGGTGGTTAAGTGCTGTTTTTCCAAAGCACACCCTGTAAATCTACTGTGCTCTTAATGTCTTGTCTCTGAACAGAATGAAAATATAGTAAAGGAGAAGCAAAGGGCTGGTTCTTACATGCCCAAGGTCAGGGGCTGGTAGGCGCGGGAGCTTGTGCCCGAGTTAGGTAGGAGGTGAAGGGTGGAGGTATCCAGAAATGGTGTCGCTGGGCTCTGACAGGCTTTCCTGTTAGGCAAAGGCATGTAGTCCCACGGGAGCAGCAGGGTCCGGCGAGTCCCCACAGGAATCCCGTCTCCCGTGGGAGGGCACCGGCTGCTCCCATCTTGTCTTCATAACCTGGACCTACCGTGTAGAGGCCCTCATAGTCAGCCCAGCCAAGGAATGTCCCCGTTCAGTGTCCCTAAGTGTGTGTGCCTATCCTAGTGATGGTACTAGGAGAGGGGTGGTGGGGATGTCCCCTGCGAGACTACTGGCTTGCCCTCAGGTGACCCCAAGTCCAGAAGGCAGGAGTGGAGGGTGTGATGACAGGCTTGGAGGCATTTCCTTCTGCCCACCAGCACCCAGAACTAGGCCCTGCGGGTTGGAAGATCACTGGGGAAATACATGCCCTCCTCTCTTCCTGAAAAAGCCTTCCTAGAGCGGAAGACAGAAATCAACTGAGAGGGTCCTCAAGGTAAACAAACATGGCCCATGAAACCACAGGAATTAATTTCACAGCAGAGAAGCACAAGGCAGGCCTGGGGTGATGCGGGACACCGACAACCTTCTGAGCAGGTGCCTAGTAGAGGGGCTTCCACACCAGCACCCCCCACCCAGCCACTGACAGCAACCCCCTCATACACATGCACAAAGACCCCCCACCTACCACCTTAAAGGGACCACAAGCCCCCTCCCTCTGGGGAGTGAAAGCAATGACCACAGCAGGGTGGCCGAGACCTTCCTGACCCCTGAACCCAGCCAGCCAGCTGAGCTCTTTGATCATCTGATGTCTAAATAAGAAAAGCCATCCAACTAAGCCCTGGTGGGGTGCATCACACGATTCCTTCTCACACTTTCTTTGCAGAAGTCCCTGGTGCCTCTTGAAGGATACACAAGAGATGGGTCACAGGGGAGGACAATGAATTTTTCCTGTTGACCTTTGTAGCAACTGGACTTTTCTACTGTGCACAGGTATTACTGAAAAAAGATGATAACACTGTACATTTGCACATGCATTAGTGCCAGAAGTGTGGCCAGGAGAGGGTGGGGCCCCTGTGGTCACAGAGCAAGGCCAGGCCTCAGGCCGCCCCACGCTGTCGTCATGTCTGTGTGGCAGGCTGGCTGGAGGCATAAAAATAAACTGAGCAGCATTACCGACAGGTTATTATTACACCCCAGCTCGTCAAGGGGCTTTCTGCCCTGGCCGGCTTGCTCTGCTGTCTTCCTGTCAGCCGCCCTTGGCCCTGGAAGCTGAGAGGGGTGGTTATCGATCAAGCCTGGCTCTCAGCAAGGTTTCCCTCTCCAAAGAGGTTTCAGCTTTTCGCCTGCAGCTATTTTTAGGGGCCTGGGCTCCACAGATGGGGCCTCTTTCAAATGATCCCATGTGGCCAGACCTGGTGGAGCCCACAGTGCACAGAGCCTGGGCAAGGCCCTCCAGGGGGCAGGTGTCCTGGGGGGAGGCTTCTGTCCTCACAGCGGGGAACCCCAGCGCCCAGCTGGGCTGACCCCAGAGCCCAGTCAGGCTGGGATGCTCCACTCATTTTCTGGTAAGGGGTAAATTCTGGGGCTGGGTGCCTGAAAAACCACCATTAGCACAGACACCCAAGTTTAATCATGTCCCCTTTCCAAATGCAAATTCCTGTTAGGTGGTGACCACCTCGGTGTATCTCAGCAACCTTGGCTGGGCTGGGCTGGGATGGAAGAAAAGGCTGAGAGCAGGGGGAGCAGATGGCAAAATGAGATTTCACCAACACCATGATTAGGCCCTGCGCCAGCCAAGCCCCGGTCCCCTCACTCTCTGGGTGGCATTCCAGACCCTTTACACTCAGGGACCACATCTGAGCCTCTGAACAACCCTGAGAGGGTGACACCAGGGCAGGATGCTCCCTCACAGGACACAGAGGCAGGAGACATGGGCAGGGTCATCAGGGACCTACCTCAAAGCGGATGGCCCCATTCCCGTCTGCATCGAAGGCATTGAAGAGGAAGTGTGCGTAGGTGGTGGCATCTGGGAAGAGCAAGGGCCAGGGCCAGCATGTGTTGGGTCTGCCTGGCAGCCTGAGCCCCACCCCAGGGAGCCCCCCTCCCAGTGTTCCCGCTGTGTCCTGGGCCAGAGTCCTCCCCTTCCGATAGCACAGAGGCAGCACCAGGCCTCCGGAAGGTAATAGAGGTGAGGGTCTCCTCCCCATGAAAGGGACACCCACCGTCTGCAGAGCTGCCAGAGGGACCACAGCCGGGGCTTTGGGAAGAGCCAGGAGGGCCTGGCCTGGGACTCACCTCCCTGGGGGAAGAACTGCGAGTAAATGAGTTTGAAGGTGTCTTCATCCACCAGGCCTGTGGGACACTCCTGCAGCAGGGAGCCACCCCTCAGCGACCTCAGCCAGCCCCAACCCCACACCCCAACTTCACAGGGCTTGGCCTCCCTCCTCCCGCTGAGGGATCCCTGCTGCCCGAGGCACCACTGGGCTCCTCTGGGCCCCAGGCTAGGGGACACCTGGTGGTGGGCAGGTGGGAGCGATTGGCTGGTCCCTCCATACTCTCCTTCCCTGTGCCAGCATTGGAGACTCACAGAGAAGAGCGTGGTGCCTCCAGAATACTGATTCTAGGACTCTAGGACCCCCAGACAGTTCTCCCACAAAACATAAACTCCTTAAAGACCCGTGGCATATTTACTGTGCCATGGAGAAGTTTCTAGGGTCTCTCCTGCCTGGAGACAGGGACAGGAGGTTGGGTGGGTCGGGGCCTCTCCTGGGGGGATGGGAAAACTCACATTCTTGAAGCCCCTGTAGAGGGACTGCAGTTCCTTCCTGGTGAACCTGGTCTGTGCCTGCAGCTGGTCCAGCCCTTCTGGCTGGTGGCGCACCGTGGACAGCTCCAGCTCACTGTCGCTGCTGTCTGGAAGGGACACAGACCCGGGAGGGTGGGACAAGTGGCCCAGCTCCTCCATCTTGTTCGAGTGTGGGCACCAGACCATGGCAGAGGTTGGGGTGGAGGGACACGCCTTTCAGGTCTGCCATGTGTGGCCGCACAGGCTGTGCACTGCACAAACGGTGGAACCGCGCACTCAGAGGCTATGGCTGCTCTGCCACCTGCTCCTCACACAGCTCTTCTGCCTCACCCTTCCCCAAGGGTGCCCAGCCCCTCAGCTACACAGTGGGATGTGGGGTGGGAGCTGGTCTTGCTCTGGAGAGATACTGAACAAGGGGAGGAACGAGGCAAAAAGGCAGCCAGATGGGTTCAAGGGACTCTTGGCTGTCAAGACCCAATTCCAGGACCACTTCCCTCCATACAGCCCTCCCTGACTTCCCCGAGGAATGGGGCAGGCCCCTGTCTTGGACCATCCAGCCTAACACACTGCTTTACTGCATATGGTATGAGGGTATCATTCACATTTGGGTAGTGCTGCTCTGCCACCTGCTCCTCACACAGCTCTTCTGCCTCACCCTTCCCCAAGGGTGCCCAGCCCCTCAGCTACACAGTGGGATGTGGGGTGGGAGCTGGTCTTGCTCTGGAGAGATACTGAACAAGGGGAGGAACGAGGCAAAAAGGCAGCCAGATGGGTTGCCTTGGCTGTCAAGACCCAATTCCAGGACCACTTCCCTCCATACAGCCCTCCCTGACTTCCCCGAGGAATGGGGCAGGCCCCTGTCTTGGACCATCCAGCCTAACACACTGCTTTACTGCATATGGTATGAGGGTATCATTCACATTTGGGTAGAAGGTCAGAGGGCAAGGACCTGAAGGGCAGGGACCAGACCTTTTCTTTAATAACAACACATCAAAATGTTAACTAACCATAGCTATTCCTGGGGGGAGGTGGATTTCAGGTGATCTTTATTTTATGATTTTATTTATTTTTTACATTTTCCTGATTTGGTATGGCATGCACCACTTTTGCAACACAAAATAAAGCTACGGATACAAAAGCACTACATCCTACATGTTGCTGAGTTTTATAATTATTTTGCTTTGTCTTGTCATTCTAAAGCTTCCCTCTGAGATGGGAAGCACAGTCCCTGCCACACTGGCTCGGCTCCTGGCCTCCCCTGCACCCAGGGGAAGGGTGTGTCCATGGCTGTCTGCACAGCTGTTTGCCCACTCAGGGCTAGCACGGGATGGGGGGTTGGGGGCCCTGCCCCCTCACTAAGCTCCCGAGCACCCTACCTACATGTCCTGCAACCAGGCTCCTAGCCTCCAGGACAGCTGTTTCACACCTTCCTTCTCTTCACACTTCCAGTGCCTCCCCCTGTCCTTACCCTCAGGTTCCTTCCTATGTCACTGATAAACAGAAGCCACAGAAGACAATTTTCCCATCTTCACCACCACATCTACCCATCTACCTGCCTCTGGCCCAGACATCTGCTTCCCTCCTCTGGGATGAACTGTCCCTGCTCGTGGCTAATGCCAACCCTTCCCCACGTGCAGTGGGGCCCGGCCTTTCCCACTTACTCAAGCATGTGGCTGCAGTAATTCTCCCCACTCTTTCCTCATCATCCTTTTTCCTACCTTGTAGATTATTCCCATCACCATGAGGACATACTGTTCAATCTGGCAATCCTTAGTCAAATTGAGTATAGGCAAACCTTGCAAGCCAGCAGTTCCACTCTGGGTGAACTTCCAGAATCTCACCCGGTTAAGGAGACCTGTACATAGATGTTCATGGCAATAGCAGTTTTGATGGGGGAGTTGGAGGTGTCCCAGGGGTCTATCACAGGCAGGATAGGTGGGCAGAATACGGGGGGTCACGTGAGGTAGAACCACACAGTGGGTTAGAAATACATATGTTAGAACAGCATGAATGGATGTTAAAAATAAGGTGTTTACTTCAGTTAAGAGGCAGACATTTCAGAATGGATGAAAAAGCAAGTCCCAACTATATGCTATTTACAGAAAGGATACCCTTAATACAAAAACACAAACATTTAAAGTAAAAGCATGGAAAAAGGCTAAGAAACATGGTGAGGCTGTATTAATAACAGAAAAAATAGGCTTCAAGATAAAGAGTACTACTAGAGATAAAGAGGGACATTTTATAATGATACAGGATTGATTCATCAAGAAGACAGAGCAATCTGAAATATATACATACACCTAGGAGCAGCTTTAAAACACTAGAAGGATGCAACCCCTATAAAATTACCAGCAACATTCTTCAATGAACTGGAACAAATAATTAAAAAATTCATGTGGAAACACCAAAGATTCCGAATAGCCAAAGCAATCCTGAGAAAAAAGAATAAAGTAGGGGGGATCTCACTCCCCAACTTCAAGCTCTACTATAAAGCCA